ATATTTGGGTTGAACTGTTCTGGAACAGTGTTGTAAATACAACTTAACCACTGATTTCTAGTCGTGTCCTCTTTCGGAAGACCAAACAAAGTAGTTTCGCTTTCACTACGAAAAAGCGTCACACACCACGGACTTGAGTGAGCGGAGGCTGGAGGCCTAGAGTGAGCAGAGGCTGGCTTGAATGAGCAGAGGCGGGCGGGCTTGAGAACGGCGCGGCTGGCGGATTCGACGAAGGGACGGGCAGCGGGCTTGCGGGAACCACATGGTGTTTAAACGAGGCGTTTTAGGAGGGTGTGGCTGACTCTTAACTTTTATAAAGAATATCTCTTTGGATTTGAGACTTTAGTCTTTGCAACTTTACAGATCTTCTTTATGCACCAAGAGCTTGTAACACTCCAAAGATAAAAACTGATATCACATCATATGACCCCTTTAATAATTTGTCATTTTGTAACTTAGAAAGAAACACATAACACATGATGGAAAAATACCGTGTTTGGTTTTGGTCTAAATTCTATTTTTTTATAAGATCATTTAAAATGTCTTAAAAAATAATATAAAAAACATGAAACACTTTGTCAAGCTTATTTTTTATACTGAAGTTGATAAAAATAAAAAAATTAAAAAGTAAAATACATCTTGTTAATATTAATGCTGCTACAGCGAAAGTAAACTTCTCCAGCAAGGCTGTGCGTAGTAAAAATCTTCAAAATCAGCAGGCATACAGTGAGCATTTTGTCTTGAATATTCTTTCAGTGATATGCATATTTCATAAACAAACATTTGTATAGTCAGTGTTTTAAAATATATCTCTCTTCATTGAGCTGTCATTTGTAAAGCTGAAGAGTATCATTTCTGTGGTAGCAAACAGGATAAAGATTGATAGTCCTTCCTTAAATTGATGCTAGTGTTGTTATGCTGGTTAGCATGGTCACGTTATTGTCAGATGTTGTCACTTTAGGTTTCTAATAACATTGTTTTCCATAAACTGTCATTCAAAAGAAGCCATGAATTTTGCAAGATATGATTTCTGTAAAACATTCTAATTATAGTATAGCATTCTCACTTATATTTTTACGGATGCTCTAAAAAGCCTGAAATTGACTTTTTTTTCTGGTTTCACTAAACATCTAGTCGCTAGTGAAGATTTTAGGACCGCAAAGTGAAACAAACACAATGTAATTGCTACAAATATCACACACTTCAACTTTAATGATTTCTTGTGTTTCTGTCCCAAATCTGTATTGCATAAAGTCTAGTAGAGCAGCAGTATTCATTTAAATATAATAAAAACCTAAAAATAATGTTGGAGGCACTACTGGAAGAGCAGTAGTTACTTTTCAGCAATTCATGTGAGTCCAGTATGGACGTGAGGTCATTTGCGCCCGTCACGACAGTATAACCATAACAGCAGACCCGTCGAGCACAGGAGGAAAACACACAATACAGACAGAACCACAACTGAAGTTCTGGAGCTCATGTTCCCATCTAAAATTAAAGACAGACAAGAGGAACATGTTACTGACATGTGACTCCATACGTTTACAGACATCTTCTGTAATGACATTTTAAACAGGATATTCAATTATGTTCAAAATTCTCAATTACAAATTCTTTTTTTCTTTGGAATAATGTGAACTGATGAATCCAATTTTAATTTCTTTTCATTTTTATGTTGACTTTAACATTTGATGTCTAATTTTATACTTTCATACACCACTGTTTAAATGTTTGGGGTGGGTAAGATTTTATTGAAAGAAGTCTCTTCTGCTCACCGAGGCTGGATTTATTCAATATAGTAAAAACAGTAATATTGTGAAATATTATTACAACTCGAAATAACTGTTTTCTATTTGGATATATTTTAAAATTTAATTTATTTCCGTGATGCAAAGCTGAATTTTCAGCATCATTCCTCCAGTCTTCAGTGTCACATGATTCTTCAGAAATCATTCTAATATGCTGATTTGCTGCTCAAGAAACATTTCTGATTATTATCAATGTTGAAATCAGTTGGGCTACTTAATATTTTTGTGGAAACCATTTTTCCAGGATTCTTTGATGAATAGTAAGTTCCAAAGAACAACATAATATTTTAAACAGAAATCTTTTCTAACATTTGAAATGTTTTTACTGTCACTTTTGATCAATTGAATGCATCCTTGCTGAACAATTATATACATCATATCCCAGCTCATTTTCTATTATGACCACTGATTATGGATCTACACTGAAATGTCTCAAATACACTGAGCAATTTGACATTTCAGAAAGTTTTGCATCATAAAACACTTTCAATGGAAGAAAGGAAGGAAGGAAATTATCTAAAATAATGTCAAAAAAATTTTTGCTAACAGATTCCTCAAACTTGATGCAATTTATAACGCTTGCAAAACACCCTGTAAATAAATCAGGAAGAAGAAATTAAAGCTGATGCTGTCGGTCAAAAAGTCTGTACAACAGTGAAACAGCTGCAATGCTCAAACTCCTGATTCTCATTTGTTCAAGACTGATAAGCAGGCTTTTGTGTTATAATCTTGCAGTGTCACCTTCCGAAAAATGTGGCTTTTATTCTTGAAATAGATGCCAGTTTGGGAACTAGGGTGATGCTTATTGTCCCAGAGAAAAAAAGAATGTAATGTGAAACATAGACGAACCTAGCTATCAGACAATGAAGGATTGATTCTGCTCTCAAGAACTCACACAACAAAGACTGAGATTCACTGCACTGGTTGTTTGAGGTTACAAACCAAATACATGACACGTAAATGACTGCCACTGATCAAATTACTCTTTGTACAATTTAATTGTCCTGCTTCAAGGAGCATCTCAGAATGTCCCAGAGAACATGAGTATCAGGGCTGATGTCAGCTCAAGTGCTTAATGTAGATATTCTGAGACCATGTTAACTTTTCACTTCAGCTTTTCGTTGCAATAAAAAGAAAATCAAACTAAAAACCAAAACAGTTCTGAAATACAAAAGGAGTGAAGCCAATAAGTAGCAAATAAATCTGCACTCTTGAAATTCAGCCTGACACCAGCAAAATCCCCCAGATTCCGCAAGCCGTGGCTCAAAACACTGAGCTTTGTACTCCACCACCACATAAACACACCTGAGGCCAATAATGACTTCATCTGTGGGATTGGTGCAGATAATGGATAATGGATCATGGATAATGAGCTCTCCAGCCACTCAGACAGTCACTGTTTGCTACGGATTATTACAATCCAGACCCGAGTGCTGCTGTCATTAAAGTGGAGGTCTAATGCTATTCTGACTTATTTACACTGTTAAAGAGTTGGATTCTGTTGCTAAACTTGGCCAAAGTTTCAAAACACAAGTTGGATGTATGATGGAGTAATTCTGTGCCAAATACACTCCTTCAGGGTTCGTATAAGTTTCAGACAGTTTTTTTTTAGTATGGCCCTTTATGATGTCATAAAGGGTGGAATTCCTTATATGGGCACTTCTCCCGGAAGAGCGCGCGCACACAGCTAACAGAGCGAGAGCAAGAGATCCATCAACATGCTTCATTTGGGTTACTGAAGTCATCGTCAGAGCTGCACAGGACTTGCTCAAGAAGGATTTGTCATTTTGTTTTTAGACCACAAAATCAACAGTCACCAAAGAAGTGTGGTTTTGGTTGTGGCGGAAAGATCACCTTGTTTGTTCGGCTTCCCAAAGAACCCAGCTGTTAAGGGAACAGCAGATGCAGTTTATTTCGCCGGGGCAACAAATGTTTTATAAACAAATTAAATCAAATTTAAGTCGACGTTTTTGTTTCTGTTTTATTCATCTCGATGTCACACCACGGCACGCCTCCAGGAGCTCGGCTGTTTTCATAGAGAAGCGTAAAGCTGTATCTGTCTTTTATAAATCTGATAAAACTAAAGACTCTTAGGTGATATATGAATGATGCAATATCACTCTATAGCCTAGGTCCTCGAGATTTACATGAGATTGGCAGAAACTGTGTTTGGGACAAACAAAGGACTTAAATTCGGAGTACTTTCGAATTCGAGGTGTCTTCAGATTTGAAAATACGAATTTCAGGTTAGTTTTTCACTCAGATTGTTATCTGTAATGAAATTAAGGTGTTGGTGTTAAAATGCTTTCTTCTACAACCCCATATCATGAGCTGACACTTTTTCCAAAATAATGCCATGTCTGCCACTGGTCGACCCACCATGCTTTCTGTTTTTTGCATACTGCTTGATGAGATCGATAAGATGTTTATTCACATTTTTTCTGCATGCTACTTGCAAGATAAGTGAGTGAAGTGACATGTGGCCAAGTATGGTGACCCATACTTGGAATTAGTGCTCTGCATTTATCCCATCCAAAGTGCACACACACAGCAGTGAACACACACACCGTGAACACACACCCGGAGCAGTGGGCAGCCATTTTTTTTGCTGCGGCGCCCGGGGAGCAGTTGGGGGTTCGGTGCCTTGCTCAAGGGCACCTCAGTCGTGGTATTGAAGGTGGAGAGAGTGCTGTACATTCACTCCCCCCACCTACAATCCCTGCCGGTACGAGACTCGAACCCGCAACCTTTGGGTTACGAATTCGACTCTCTAACCATTAGGCCACGACTTCCCCTAATCGATAGATCGATAAGATATTTACGGGGTTTTTTTGCATACTGCTCGATAAGAATATGATCTTTATGTTTTTCTCCGTACTGCTTGATACGTTCGATAAGAGCTTTACGTTTGTTTGATATTGCTTGATAAGATCTTCACTTTTTTTGTGTATTGCTCACTAAGATTGATAAGATCTTTACGTTTTTTGTGTAATGCTTGATAAGATTAATAAGATCTTAAAGGTTTTTTTTTGTGTGTGTAGTGTTTGATTAGGTGTTATTTTTATGAAAATTTTTTTGCGTACTCTAAAAACTGTTGGGTTATTTATTCTACCCAACCGCTGAGTTCAGCCTGTTGGCTCATATGTTGGGTTGTTTTTTTTCCAGTGTTGGGTAGTTTTTGTGTTAGAGAGCGGTTCTCAGCACCTCCTAATGATGCACTTCTTCAGTGAAATAAAGGTTTACATACATTTTATTTAATCTATAAAATCTTTACTGTGCTGTAAATGATATTATTTTACATAACAAATCAACATAACAAACGTGTCAGCAGCGGTCGTTTCGCATGACGCAAACGGCTTTTGCTTTGAATTGCATAAAAAAGTGAAAGTGACGTGACGTGTGGCCAAGTATGGTCACCCATACTCGGAAGTTGTGCTCTGCATCGCACCATAAGTGCAAACACACAGCAGTGAGTAGTGAAGACACACCATAGACCAGGGGTGCCCAAACTCAGTCCTGGAGGGCCGGTGTCCTGAAGAGGTTAGCTCCAACCCCAC